ACAGCTTCCTGCCCAGCTCTGAGCTGACCATTGTGAACTTATAAATTTCCAGACTCTCTGAAGAGCTCGACACACTGGGTGCCAGTGATCTTGGCAATATTAGAAGCCCTGCTGTATGACTTAGGTGTGCTGCCCAGCGGCTTGCTTCTTAACAACAGCTGCAAAACTGACTTCACTGTGAGGTTGGTCAGACACTGAAACAGGTTGCCCAAGGAAGTTGTAGATGCCCCCACCCCCCAGAAGTGTTTAAGGCCAGGCTGGACGAGGCTTTGAGCAACTTGGTCTAGTGGAAGGTGTCCCTGCTGATGGCAGGGGAGTTGGAACTGGATGATCTTTAAGGTCCCTTCCAATCCAAACTGTTCCATGATTGATTCTATGAAAAGCTGTCTGTCTTTTTCTGACATGTCCAGTATGGCCACGGATGGAAAAAAGGTATCAGGCTTGATAAACCACTGGACCTGATCCAATACTACTATGCTTAGTTTGGGAAGGATATAAACCTTTAACTTACTTGATATGAAGTGCAGGCCCAAGGCTAACGTGAGAACGTGTGGCAGTGAGAACAAGCAGCATAGGCATTTGGAGCACTTTTGAGCCTGCCAAGTATTGATCGGTGAGGGGTGGGAATGAGTGGAGAAGCATTTCAATTTGGCATCCATATGTGATTCTGATGCTGTCACAGTGAATTAGCAGTGCTTTCTTTTCCCTGTAGTCCGTGCCAGGCTTTTGTCATTGAAGTATCCCTTTTGCCCATATCTACTTGTTAAAAGACAAAGTGAAAAAAAACCAAACAAAAAAACCTCCCCCAAAAAACCCAACCAAACAAAAAACAAATTCACAGAACTTGTGCCCCCAAAAAACCTGATTATCTTATGCTGGTATCCTCTGAATGGAGACACGGAACAGTACTGTACCATCACTGCTAAAGACTGTTAGAGCATAAATGTTATAGGGGATTCAAGCTACAATTACTTATTTTGTACAGTCATTTAATCCACTAATGGGGAGAAATGGGGCAACAGTTTAAAAAGGCAAGAGAACTGTCAGAGAATATTAAATCTACTGGGTTGATTTGTTTTGCTAGTCTCGCTTGACCCAAGTACATGCTTCAGCTAATGCAACAGATTTAATGCCTCTGGTAATTAGAGCAAGAAGTGATGGGTCATTGTTAGCAACTGCAAATTAAGGGTTGTATTTCATCTGGAAAGCAGCATCTTCAACTGGGCTTATTTGTTGCCACTGCAGATCATGTGTGAGTCACAAGTGGTACATTGGACTGACGCATTTGTGTGATTTAGTAGAGGATTTTAAATAAATGCTTACTGTGCCATGGGAGCAGTTTTTCTAAATAGTTGCCAAACAGAAAATGCCACAATATTGGACTTCCCCATACAGTGAATGCTGCCACTCTTATTTACATGCTGTTGGTGATTTCTTGTTGTTGTTGTACAGTTCACACTTGCAGTGGTTTAACCACAGGTAGACCATGTGGTCCTGCACTCACTTCCCTAACCCAGTGAGATGGGAAGGGAATCACAACAAAGGGGCATGGATTAGGATGAGGACAGGGACGGCTCACTCACCAGTTATGGTCACGGGCAAAACAGACTCAACTTGGGGAAGAAAAATCTATTTAATTTGTTACCATTCATCCGAGTAGCACAGTGGGACAGAACAACCACATCTTACAACACCTTCCCCCACCCCTCCCTTCTTCCTGGACTCAATCACTTTGCTCCTGATGTCTCTACCTTCCCCCCACTCCAGCAGCACAGGGAATGGGGGTTCAGTCAGTTCACCTTTGCTGCTCTTCCCAGCAGGGAAGTCCAGGAACAAGATGTCCCAGAGCAAGCTTCCCATGGAGTCACAGCTCCAGCATGGGGACATCCATGGGCTGCAGATAGGCCTCTGGTCCAGCACACCTCCTCACCCCCTGGCTCTGGCATTGAGCAACTCTTGGAGTCTCAGTTTCAGTCACACTTACCCTCAGGCTCAGCTTTCCAGCTCCAGCGTGGAGTCCTCCATGGTCTACACATGGGTCTCTGCTCCACTGTTGAACCTCCCTGGGCTGCAGGAACCTCCTTTGCCTTCTCCTACTCCATGCCTGTTGAACTGGGTGTTTGAGGTTCTCTGTCCTCCCCCTCCTCCTCCTTCCCCCTGGCAACAAAGCTCTCTCTTTGTTTAGGCTGATGGTGGTCTTTTGTTCAGGTCAACGGTCTCTCCTCCAGGTTCTCTCCACCTTCTTTTTGGGACAGTCCTTCCCCTCACAAATATGGATTCACAGAGGTGTTTCTCTAGTGATAATTGGCCCAGCCTGGACTGGGGGGCCTCTGCCTTGGAGCCAGCTTCTTACCAGGGCCATCACTGTAGCCCCTCCCCCCACTACCAAAAACAGCCCCCCACACACAAACCCAACATAACACTTCAGATGATTTTTGATTGTAGGTTTGAAATATATTTCTCATATCCATGAAACTGAAGAGTGAAGAAATAAAAGCCAGGCAAGAATGGAAAGCATCAGTAATTGGCAGCTTCAGAAGATACAAGAGCCAATCTAATACCATTCAAGGTGTATAAACACAGAATACTTATGTGGGTTTTACAGATTCACAGTCATATCCAATTCTGGGTATCACTAAGGGTATGAATGAAGATGATATATCATAGATTCAGTATTTTTGCAGATATTAGGAAATCCCTAAATCCTCTTAGAAGAATACCGATAAGCGAATGAAGACACAGGTACAAAAGGAATTAGCCACAAACTGAACTCCATTACAAGGTGCTAGGAGGTGGGCACTGAAATAAAACAGATGAGGGGATGTAATATAGCTGAATCATTTCAGATGAACTTATGCAGATCAACAGGCAGGGAACTATGACTTGAAAAGACCAAGATATTAAAGCTTTAAAATGCTTGAGAACAGCTGGATAAATCAATGGTTGCTCATCAAGCCAAATCTGGGGGACTGTCTGTGGTCAACTAGCTAGGTAAGTGATGCTGATGACCTCCTGAGGGACACAAAAAGGGGATGACAGCAAGAACTGTTTGAGGGTGATCCTCCCTCTCAGAAATATGCCCAGACCCCAGTGGGGGCTTAAAGCTCTCTCAAAAATCAAGAGAAAAGAAGAGGATTCAGAGGTGTCCAAAAGGTAGACATTCTCAGTGCAGATGGCAATCTCCTTAAAAACAAGTATACTTGGGGAATTTAATTTAATTTTAAAATTAACAAGAAAAATGACCAAAACCACTTCTTCATCTGTCTGCCAGTACCTGTGACTCTGGACAGCTGTCATGAGGAAAGACCTTATAGGTGCAAGAAAGTGAGACCCTTAATCACTCCTTGCTTCTTACTACACATCTGAGGTTCTGGGTATTAAAGTAACGTATGGTACCAAGAGTGTTAAGGAAGTTGTCTTCTGTATGTACAGCTTGCTGCATGAGGGAGTTGATATATTAGGGACATGCTTTTATGTGAATCTGACCTTTTAAAAGGGTCATTCTTCTCCCTTGCACACTCTGCTTGGACTTAATCTCATCCAACATGTCCCTACAAGTCCTTCCTAACCTATTGTTCCACTCACCTTTTTTCAGATCCTGCCTTTTTTTCTGGTTTCCCCAGCAGAGCTCATAGACACTGTGAGCCCCTCAGGTGAAAGATAGCCAGTAAGTCTTAAAGTGAGCAAGGATGAGGTATGGTTCCCTAAAAACTGGAGGGCTTGTCTTTTTCAGTACTCAGCTCCCATGGGAGATAGTTTGGGACGTAAATGCCTCCATGTCTTTGTGAAGACATGAAGTTACACAGCAAACAGACAAAGGCAGATGCCTGGGAGGCACAGAGAAAGGTTTGATTTGTAGATTCTGGGGAATCAGATGTCCTGCAGGTAATTGGCACACCATTAGTGTTTGACTTAGTGCTTGACTGTTAATAAGGAACATCATGAAGGAGAACTAGCAATGACAGTGCCTGCCCTGAGGAAGCACCCCGTGCCTATCCAGGTGCTGCCTTTTGCCAGCTGCTGTAGGGGTAATAAATCAGTCAAGGATGACAAAGTTCAATTTCCAGTGGGAAATAATGATTTTTCTCAAAAGTGGAGTGTGTCTTCCTTAATAAGGGACACTTAGCAGCATGGGTTCTCATCTCTAGACTCTGTCACTCCCTCTGTCACACATCACATGTGCTGATGTACCCTTTTTTCTAAAAGCCACCAACCCTCACTGGATCAATAAAGCCTGATCAATTGTTTTTCCCTCTGAATTATCCATATGGCCTTGTTAGCTGAGCTGCTGGCAGAAAACAAGAGACAGCTTTCTGTCTGTTTACTGTAAAGAAAGCCAAGCAAACTACAGGAGGGGACAGGCTGCAGGATATTTACTGTCAATACAGCCGGAGAGAGAGAGGAGATATAAGGAGCGGGGAGCAGAGGCTGCAGACTGCAACCCAAATGAAAGATCTGAGAGTAAAAATACCTGTGCAGTTTCAGATGGAAAGTGGGTGGATTGAAGTCAACAAGGGATAGCTGAGAGTGTTTAACAAATGCTTTAGTGAAGGGCTAGTGAGGCAGGGAAGTACTTGTGGCACACGGAATAATAATGCTGTGTGTGAGCATACTGAATCTGCAGTGCGATCTGGAAGGTTCTTCCAGATCTGCCCTGAGACAGAGCAGTAGCTGGGATATTTTTGTGTGTGCCTGCATGCAAGACCCACCATTTAAAAGTAATAAGATATAAATAATAATGATTAAACTTAGAAAATAATAATAATCGGAGCTAGTTTTCCAAAGCAGTTGGATGTCACCATTATAACTCGGACCAGAAAAAAAAAGTATTAAAAAACTAGGCATACTTCTTTGCTTCTCTCTCTTCTTCATCCACAGAGGAATTAGGTAACCCAAGCTTCACAGAGCAGGGTGGCTCTGAGCAACCCTCTACTTCCAGAGGCAGGTGAACAAGTGAAGAGTGAATTCCCACTTTAGAGAGCAGCTAAGACCATCTTGCCATGAAACCATTCACAGATGAAGATGCAGAAATCTACATCCAGACCAAGGTAAGGCTTTATCTGTCCAGATTTTCTGTCTCCCACACTAGGTGTTGATTCTGAAGGGTGCCAAACTTGACAGTTAGTTGCTCGCCGGCTGTCTTCATTTCTGAGACAAGCTTGGGTGAAGTTTCATGAGAACTGTATTTCTAATGAGATTTCTAGGTTTCTGTCGCAGAATGTTATCAGGGATCTCAGCTGGTAGCCTAATTTCAAGGTGCTTGTAGTCTTCTTCAGATGTCCTGAATTTTTGCTCCTGATCTGGAATTCCAGATGTGAGACTAGCTGTAATTGCCAGCATGTAATCTAAGGACAGGTCCTTGCCTCTCTCCCTGTCCAGTGATTTTGTCTTGACAGAAACAAGACTGAAACCACATCAGAGTTTGCCCTCTGAGAAAGATGCATGTAGGAACTAGAGACAGAGACAGATATTGTTAGAATTCACCCATCAGTCTGTCACCTCAGCTAAGGATAGTTCTCTTTATACCGTAATTAACATACCTCATTAGCACATGCAGGCCAGAACCACATTTTCTATTTTATGAGATATTTCAGCAATCAATTTTTTTTTTCCCATTATGAAATTAAGTAAAACAGGAAAAAAAATAATCAATGAAACAATACTGTTTAAGAAAAGTAACTCTAAGTGAGCCATAATGTTTTTAAAGCTGGCGTGTTTCATCACAGTACTTAGCTATATCCTATTTTTTAGTCTGCTTTCCCCAGCAAAATGCAGGACACCAAAGTGGCAGCTCTTGGAATGAAACATATCCTGGCTTGGAGAACGACTAATATATGCCGAGGAATAACTCGATATTCTGCATCAAATGGTTAAAGAATCAGACTGTAGCTGGTTGATAGCAAAT